ATCATGTCACCCCTCAGCCGTCGTTTCTCCAAGCTGAAGAGCCCTAACTTCTTTAACTTTTCTCCATAGGGAAAGTGTTCTATCCCCAGAATCATTTTAGTCGCCCTTTCCCCCCACCTTTTCCAATGCTGTATCTTTTTTGAGGTGCGGTGAACAGAACTGTACACAGTATTCCAAATGAGGCCACACCATAGATCAATGCTCCCTCTAAGTTCTGGGGTCTTGTGAGCAAAAAATCTACTTTGTGAGATACTGGCATTAACGTTGTGAGCGAGCGATTTGGCTACTGCATAAATTGTTTTGCTCTGGAGCCCCATCCTTCCTGAGCTAAGACAAAAATATGTGAGCCAGAGGCTAAAAAACTGTGAGCTAGCTCACACTCACTCAGCTTAGAGGGAACACTGCCATAGACCCCTGGCCAAGTGAGTGGGCTACAACAGAGTTGCTTCTGACGAACAGCATGAAACACTCACGTGTCTTAAACAGCTCTCTTGGACCAGATGCATTGTACTGAACAGTTTGGTGTAGTGGTTAAGTGCGCGGACTCTAATCTGGGAGAACTGGGGTTGATTCCCCACTCCTCCACTTGCAGCTGCTGGTGTGACCGTGGGCAAGCCATAATTCTGGCACAGCTATTCTTGAAAAAGAGCCATTTCTGTCAAGAGCTCTCTTGGCCCCGCCTGCCTCACAGGGTGTCTGTTGTGGGGAGGGGAAGGGAAAGGAGTTTGTAAGCCGCTCTGAGACTCAGAGTGAAGGGCGGGGTCCAATCTCTTCTTCTTCTTCTAATCTGGGAGAACTGGGGTTGATTCCCCACTCCTCCACTTGCAGCTGCTGGTGTGACCTTGGGCAAGCCATAGTTCTGTCAGAGCTGTTCTTGAAAAAGAGCAGTCCTCGAGAGAGCTCTCTTGGCCCCACCTACCTCACAGGGTGTTTGTTGTGGGGAGGGGAAGGGAAAGGAGACTGTAAGCTGCTCTGAGACTCCTTTGGGTAGTGAAGGGCGGGGTATACATCCAATCTCTTCTCTTCTTCCGTCCACGCTTGCACTACAAATGGGTCAAAACCCAGCATTCTGAATTGAGCCCAGATCTGACATCTCAAGGCCCCAGGGTTAGCGGTGGCACCTCCCACTGGCACAAGGGACCTTCAGGAAGCTTCCTCATGCCCGGGGGACAATGCCACTGTTGGCAGAACAGACCTGTGGGATGCTACCCTTTTTGGCAGAGATGCAGGGTGCACCAGCGAGCTCCGCAATCCAGGGCTCCAGAGAGCAGCCTCCGTCCTGACCCCCTTCCCACTCACCTGGGCAAAGGCCTCGAAGAGGGGCAGGTTGAGCCATTTCAGGAAGGCGAAGGACTTGAGGCAGCGCACCACGTCCCCGTGCGCCATCTCAGCCACGCGGGGGTGCAGGTCCAATGCTATCTTTTGGAACACCTGTGTCTGGTGGAAATTCAGCTTCCCTTAGAGGATGAGAAGAAGAATCAGCAGTTACATAAAGAGGGGAGGGGGGGGAGCTACTCTTTCCTCAAGTTGCCCAGTTCTGTAAAGTCTTCCCTAGTCAGTCCTGTTGGAAAAATTGTCAGAAATACTTAGAGATTCAGAGTTTGCAATGGATCTTTGCTTCACTGGAGAGGAGGCATTTCTTTCTGTGTAAAAACCTTTATTTCTAAAGGGAAGGGTACACAGGAAAAGCTACAAAATAAAAGATCTAAGGCTACATCTCTACAGCTACAGAAACAGACCGACTACACGGTCTCTCAGCAACAGCTGCAATGGAGATTCTTCTTCTTCTTCTTGACCCCTAGAAGGAAATCACCGGAATGCATTAACCAATGATTGCTAGTAAACAGACTTAGATTATTCCGGCTTCGCTCTGAACCAGGTTTCCCTTCCAGGTCAGTCTAAACAACAGCACACAAGGTAAAGCAGATTAACCCTATAATGACTAAATTTTAGACCTTGCAACACACACATATTTCAAACAAGTCCCACCCTCGCCTTTTTAATTGCACTCCTTTATTTATTTAAAACCTTTATTAGCCGCATCTCTTCCTTACAGAGCTCAAGGCGGCTTACGGCACAGATAAAATACAGAACACAGAATAGGTAAAATACATTTAAAAACCCGAAATTTAAAATCACCATTGAGGACTGCTGGTAAATTAATCACATGCAGTCCAAAATCCAATGGTCTTCAACTGCTTCCTAAAGACTGAAATTGTGGAGGCCAGGCGCACCTGCCTGTGGAGGTTTTCCCATTATTGGGGGGCTACCACTGAGAAGGCCCTGCTCTTGCATACCCACCAAACAAGCTTCTTTGATTGAGGAGGGCCTCTCCCTGTGACCTTTATTCCTGGGCAGGAATGTATGGGAGAAGACGGTCCTTCAGACACCCCAGTCCCAGGCAGTGTTCCCTCTAAGCTGAGTTAGTGTGAGCTAGCTCACAGTTTTTTAGCCTCTGGCTCACACATTTTTGCCTCAGCTCAGGAAGGATGGCTCCAGAGCAAGCTAATTTATGCAGCAGCCAAACTGCTCGCTCACAAACTAGAATTTTCGCTCACAGGACTCCACAGCTTAGAGGGAGCATTGGACCAGGGCAAACCACCTCTGCTCATCTCTGGCCACGACAACCCCACGTAACTGGGATCCCAGCCAGTATCACCTCTAAAGCTGAGTGTGAGCTAGCTCACCGGTTTTTAGCCTCTGGCTCACACATTTTTGCCTCGGCTCCGGAAGAGAGGGCTCCAGAGCAAACTAATTTAGGCAGTGGCCAAACCGCTCACTCACGACTTTAATGCCACTAGCTCACAAGGTAGAATTTTGGCTCACAAGACTCCGCAGCTGAGCGGGATCATCGGTCCCAAGCCAAGCAGGACTTTGATGGTTAAAACCAACACCTTGAATTGAGCTCGAGACTGGATCGGAAGCCAGTGTAATTCGCTGTAGTATCCGGGTCGTGTGCTCCGGATCGCTGGCCCCAGTCAGTAGTCTAGTAGACTAGCTGCAGCATTCTGCATTAGCTGTAGCTTCTTCTTCTTCTTCTTTTTTAAGTACCCATAGGTACTATTAATTTTTCATAATCTACAACAAACAAATCTACACACTACAGACACTCTACTACACATAACGTATATACCAAGAGTGCAGTTACATTATATGCTTATATGCAATTACTTAATAAAAATGCTATATCAAACACTTTCCATTCTTCTATCTTGCGCTATAATTGCCTAATCTTCTATTACATTTGCATTATGCCAATCATAAAACTTTTCCCATGTTTTTTGAAATGTCCACTCTTTACTTAATCTCATTTCTAGAGTCAGTTTATCATTTTCTGCTGTTTCAAAAAGTTTATTCACAAACTCCTGTTTCGTTGGTATCACCATAGTTTTCCAATATTTGGCATATAAGATTCTTGCAGCTGTCGTCATATAAACAGTCAAATACCTATTCTCTTTTTCATAATCCTTTGGAAATATATTCAACAGCAAAACCTCTGGAGTAAATGGAATCTTTGCTCTTAGTATCTTCTCCATCAAACTATGGACCCATTTCCAAAACTTTTTAGTAACATCGCATAGCCACCACATATGGTAAAATGTGCCCCTTTTACTCTTACATTTCCAGCATTTATCAGAACAGTTAATATTTTGCTTAGCCAGTCTATCAGGTGTAATATACCATCTATAAAACATCTTGTACATATTCTCTTTATATGTTATAGCATTAGTCATTTTAATATTTTTCTCCCAAATCTGCCCCCACATTAGCTGTAGCTTCTGAACACGACATGCCTTCCCCATTGACACACACACACACACACGCATCTTCACTGCTCCTATCTAGTCCCTCCATCGCAGATGGCACATCCTCTGGGAAGGAAATGTGTCACATCCGGGCCCTGGCCATTGAGGCACAAGAGAGCACGATCTGGAACCGAGTGCGACGAAGCGGCCGCTCCTTAAACACCCCTCCGACGGCCCAAGTTCAGGACAAAGGAACCCGTCACTGTGGAGAGACCCAAAGAAGGCCCTGAGAGGAGGGACCGGCCGATGCTGCTTACCAAAGGCAAAAGCCACGTCGAGGAGGAGGTTGGTGCTGAGCGTGAAATGCTTCTGGACCAAGTGGTACGAAAGGGCCCGGAGCAGAGAGACGGACCGTCGGTTCTGAAACGCCAACGCCGTGACGATTCTCCGTGTGTCCTCCGGGCTGAACTGCTCCGCCAGCTCCAAGGCCTGTTGGCGAAGGTGTTTGGCATGAGAAACTGGCAAGCGGGCGGGGGGGACGGGGACGGGAAGCCTGAGGTTCCATTACTAGCCTTCAGGGGTAAAGCAAAACCCTCTGGAGCTTTTAATTTGGAAGGCACGCTTTTCCCGTTTTGAGACATTTTTAAGGACTACAGAGACAGGGCTAGTAAAGATATACATAAACAAACAACCGATAAAAGCCTGCTCCCTCTCTTTCACCCTGCCCCACCTACTGCTAGAGGAAACCTTTGGACTCTACTGGACGTGGCCTGGATTCAAATTATGCTATGGAGCGGCTTGTTCAAAATTAATGTCCCGTTATTCACACACGTTTCTGGAGGGAGGGAGTTTACACGGCACAACTTTCAGGAACCCTACCCTATGGAGAACAGAGGGGAGGATCCCACACATTGGGTGCGTTCAGATGGGCCGTTTAGTCCGCTTTCGGCCCACCTCAGAAACGGATTTTATCTGCGCGATCACACAGTCAACATCTGCCTCCCATCCCCAGCCGTCGCTTTCCAGCTCAAAACCGCTTTAACCCGGAGTATTTTGATACCAGGTCCCCAAGTGGTGTTTTCCTGATTCTCTGATTCCAGCCGCACTTTTCTGACATCTGATCGCTCCTGCGGTGTCGAGCCACTTCCGGTTTAACCCCCCTCCCCGCTCGAAAGCTGCCCGAGGCTTCCGCTGTTCGCCCACCTTTTTTAAAAAAAAGCGTTGGCGGTGTGCGCATAGGCGGAGGTCCGCCACCGCGTTATTAAAAACAATGTTTAAACGGTGCCTAGCAGTGTTCCCTCTAAGCTGAGTTAGTGTGAGCTAGCTCACAGTTTTTTAGCCTCCGGCTCACACACTTTTCTCTCAGCTCAGAAAGGATGGCTCCAGAGCAAACTAATTTATGCAGCAGCCAAATCGCTCGCTCACAACTTTAATGCCAGGAGCTCGCGAAGTAGAATTTTTGCTCACGAGACGCCACAGCTTAGAGGGAACATTGGTGCCTAGTTTTAGTGTTTAGATGAGTTCGGGATCTCACGGAGGCCATGTTCGGGGTAAACGTTTAAAGGGAAGTGTTCCTTTAAAGTTTAAAGGGAAGTGTTACAGCAGTCGGGTTAAAGTGTAAATCGCTGTTCTGTGCACGTGTGAAAATTTTAGTTCTACAGATGGCTGCCTTGTGCGCATGCCCAAACTGAGAGACAGAGAAAAACAACACTGGGGGCGGGGCACATGATGAAGCCCCGCCCCCTGCTTCCGCCCGCCTCGCTTCCAGCCCTCATTCAGCCAGGAGGAGGCAGGAGAAGAGGGAGGGTAAGTTGCTTCCTCCCTGCCTCTCCCCACCCCTGCCTGCCTGGGGCCAGGGAGGGCCTTGGCGGGGCTTCCTCGCACTCCTGCTGGCCTTGCAGGTCCACCGCCGGGCCCCTGATGTCAGGGGGTGTGGCATATGCTAATGAGTTATGCTAATGAGTTCCCCTAGCTCTTTTTCTACGAAATGACCCCTGCCGATGCGTGTGGACAGCGGGGAGCAATGTGGCTGCGCAGCGATGCAGAGCAAGGAGGTGAGGGTGATCGCGATTCTCCAGGTTAAAAAAGTCCGCATCAGGGCCGGAGCAATTTAAACCGCTCCCAGCACACGCCGACTGACTGCACCCACTGGTTGCTTTTCCACAGGAGAAGCAGCATAACCCAACTCATGGAACTGACAATGCTGCTGATCCTTCTCCTGCCAGCAAAACAGCCTCCCTTCGGAGACCCGTTAGCACATATGAACACATGAAGCTGCCTTATACCAAATTAGACCCTCAGGGTCCATCAAGGTCAGTACTGTCTACTTAGACTGGCAGCCGCTTTCCAGGGTCTCAGGCACTGTTCCCCTCTAAGCTGAGTTAGTGTGAGGCCAGGCGCACCTGCCTGTGGAGGTTTTCCCATTATTGGGGAGCTACCACTGAGAAGGCCCTGCTCTTGCATACCCACCAAACAAGCTTCTTTGATTGATGGGTCGGTCAGGAGGGCCTCTCCCTGTGACCTTTATTCCTGGGCAGGAATGTATGGGAGAAGACGGTCCTTCAGACACCCCAGTCCCAGGCAGTGTTCCCTCTAAGTTGAGTCAGTGTGAGCCAGCTCACAGTTTTTTAGCCTCCAGCTCACACATTTTTGTCTCAGCTCAGGAAGGATGGGGCTCCAGAGCAAACTAATTTATGCAGCAGCCAAATCGCTTGCTCACAACTTTGATGCCAGTAGCTCACAGAGTGGAATTTTTGCTCACAAGATACCACAGCTCAGAGGGAACACTGGTCTCAGGCAAAGGTCCTTCACATCACCTCAAACCTGGTCCTTTTAAACTAGAGACGTCGGGGCTTGAACCTGGGATCTTCTGCACGCCAAGCAGATGCTCTACCACAGAGCCACGACTCTCCTGTCTGTTGGTCTCTTGGCCCCGGGGTGCTTCTGCCTGTCTGCAGCAAAACTATCCCCAGAGCCCACAAAGAGCTCCGAGGCCCATGAGCTACAGAGATTTACTGTGGCAACTGTTTGGACCAATCCTCACCACGGAAAAGGTGAGCAATGAATTTGACACAGTTGCAGAATAAACTTTAATGCCAGTAGCTCACAAAGTACAATTCTTGCTCACGAGACTCCACAGCTTAGCAGGAGCACTGGTTGCAGGGATCATATCCCTTCTTTAGGGTGTTACTGGACTTGAATCTCCCTGTTAGAGTCGTGCATGTCTTAACTCCTGGATGCTTTGTGCTTGGCTCTGCCGCCGGTGGGCAGGCATTTTCTGCCTGCGCTAACCACCCTGTCTGAAGGTGCCCTGAAGGCAGTTGGGGACCCCTTCGTCACAG